GGCTTTGCTTCTGTGAAGACTGACAGCCTTGGAGACCCTGTGGGCAGTTCCACTCTGTCCTCTAGGGGCGCTGTGAGTCAGAATGGACTCCAGGCAGTGGGTGTGGTTTGGGCTTTGCTTCTGTGGAGACTGACAGCCTTGGAGACCTTGTGGGCAGTTCCACTCTGTCCTCTAGGGGTGCTGTGAGGGTGACCAGATGGCAGTGGGTTTGACTTTGGTTCAGCCCTGCAGCCAGGGCTGACTAGGATGTGGGGCCTGTTCTTGCTTCTCCCAGGCATCTGGGGGTGGTGTCAGAGTGGCAGCCATGGGGGGAGCGCTCAGCTCTCCAGAAATCTGCCCTGCCCCGTTCTCCCTGCTGGCCCTGTGACATGAAGGTCTTCAGGCAGCGTGGCCCCACTGTTGGATGCAGGACCCTGTGCTCTCCCCTGCCCCACGCCCAACCCCCGTTTCCTGCTGCCTGTTTCTAAAGGCTGGGTCTTGAGCAATCCCCTCTCAGCCCCCCCCCCCCCCGTTTAATTCGTCAGGTGGGGAAGCCTGCCCTCTTGTGGTGGCTGTGAGCACTACGGCGGGTCGCGGGCCACGTTTCATTGACTAAACGCAGTCCAGGTTGTCTGTGTCTTCAGTTCTGCACTCCAGTGCCCTCGCTACAAAACCCATTCTAATTGAGACACGCTGATGGGACACAAAGGCAAAGTGAAAACAAAGGTGGCCCCTACGGTGATTCCTTTTCCCATGCACTGGGGAAGGTCGCAGGGGTGGCAGGAGAGCCTGCAGGGAGAGGGGCTTGAGGATGGATGGGGCAAGGAGGTGATGGCTGCAGGGAGCCCAGGTAGGTGGGAAAGGGCCACCAGAGTTGGCTTCTGGTCGCCCAGGTGTGCCACGTCGCACCAGGACAGCCGGTGTGGTGAGCCCGTGTGTGGGCTGAGGAGAGGGGGAAGGTGCCTCTCAGCTGGCCGGTTGCCACAAGGTGCAGGCACGTCCACCCAGGTGAAGGAGGTGGTCCGTGGGCTGGTCTCTAAAGAGTCACACAGGTCGGTGTCTGAGAAGGGACTTTGCGGTCACTGTTCATCCAGATACTCCTTCAACCCACTCATTTGTCTGATTCACACAGTCACTCATCCGACCAGTCACTCATTCAAATTCGTTCACTGGATAGGTTGGTTCAGCCAACCAGTCATTTAGTCAGTCATTTGACCATTCGTTCCATCCAACCAATAGTTATCCAATCACTCCTTTGATGGATTATTCAGTCATTCATTGAACCAGTCACTCATTTATCCCACCAGTCATTTATTCATTCAACCAGTGCTGATGGATTGGGAAACTGGCCTTCCATTGAGACAGAAGGGAAGAAGCGGGGGTGGGGCTTCCCTGATGGCAGTCCCTCCTCCCACACCCCTGGCCCTGGGCTGCAGGGAGGCCAGGCGGCACACTGACTGGGCGGCTTTTATTGGGGGGGGTCACAGGTGCCGGTAGCGGAAGAGATCGCGGTGGCACACGGGGCAGGAGTGCTGCACGTCCATCAGGCCCTCCATGCAGAACGGGATGAGGCAACAGCCCAGCACACACCTGCAGCCGGGGCGGGCGCTTGCTGTGAGGCTGGCCGCCCGCCCGCCCGCCCGCCTGCCCCGCTCCACTGTCTTCTCGCCGGGCTGCCCAAGGCCCCCCTGGGCTCACTCAGCTCGCCCTCTGGGTGGGGCCTGGACACCTGCACGTTTGAAGCTCCTTGGGTGATTCCAAGGTGCTGGCGGGGTTGAGTCAGTAACCAGCCCTCTGGTGGCCGTGACAGCACCATGCAAGTGCTTACTGACACCTCCCGGTGATGGTGCCCCGCCCTTGGGATGAGGACGTCCAGGATCGGAGGGGCCGAGTCATCAGCAGCGTCACCAGGAGGTAAGTTGCTGAGATGGGAACCTCCCCCTGTCCTTGGTCCTGCTGCCCCATTCCCTCGAAGCGCCCCCTAAGAAGAGTTAGGGAACAGCCCCTCCTCCACCCTCCCTGCTGCAAGCCCACACCCCCAGGCCCCTGGGGCGCCCCCGAAGCCCAGGCCCTACCACTCACCCAAACAGGGTGAGGCCGGAGCACATTAGCCAGACGAGGAGTCCTGGGACCCGCCTGGTGACTGTGACGATGGCGTTCCTACAGAATGGACATACCATTCGCAGTGGGGTGTCCGAGCTTCCTCTGGGGAACCTGGGGACCATGACTGGTGGGGGAGGGGCAGGTCAGACTCAGCCTCCCTCCCATTCCCTGCTGCCCTCCACTCGCCTTCAGGCGAGACCCCCTGCCCTCCTCCTCCGGCCTGGGCAGAAGCAGTCCTCCAACTCTGTGTGCAGCAGCCCTGGTGGCGCACTACCTAAGGCACCTGACTGCTAACCAGAAGGTTGGAGGTTCAAACCCACCAGCCGCTCCGTGGGAAAAAGCTGGGGCAATCTGTTTCTGTAAAGACTGACCACCTTGCAAACCCAGCGGGGGTTGCTATGAGTCAGAATCGACTCAGTGGCAGTGGGTTTGGTTTGGGTGACTGTGCGCCCCTGGATGCCGTGCCCATAAATTCCCCTTAGTTGTTGCTGAGTCGGTTCACCAGTGCCAGCGTCTAATCCCAGCAAGTCGGCATCGCTCACGGCGCCCCGTGGGTCAGGGTGGAACTGCGCTCCCTGGGGCTCTCAGAGGCTGCTGCTTGGGGAGCACGTCACCAGGCCTGACGGACGTGCCTCTGCGTGGACTGACCCTCCAGTGAGCAGCGGGCGGTTAACCGTCTACGCCCCCGCCACTCCACGCCTGCAGCTAAGGAGCGTAACTGATACCTTTGGCAAAGCAGTTGCGTGCACTCGGGGGGCGTCTCCCCTGACACGGCTTCTGTGCGTTGGCACAGTGGGCCCGTCCTTGGTGCATCATCCTGAGACGTGCTTCCCAGGAATTTAAAAGGCAACCTGGCGGTTCCCACACCTGAGCTCGCTCACTGCTGTCCAGTCGTTTTCCGAATCATAGCGATCCCTCCTTCGGTTTCCGAGGCAGTATCAACTGCTACGGAAGTAGATTGCCCCATCTTCCCTCCGAGGAGTGGCTGGTGGGTTTGAACCGCCAGCCTTCTGGTTAGCAGTCAAGTGCCTTAGGCAGTACGCCACCAGGGCTCCCCATACCTGAGAGGGCCTGAAGATTCTAAAATCCAGGTTGTGATTCAGTGGGTCTGGGGCGGGGCCCGGGGGTCTGCGTTCCCTCCTTGTCTGTGGTTTGGGTGCATTTGCAGGGTGAGCGCAGTGCTGTCTCCCGCAGGGGACACCTGGGTTCGATTCCCAGCCAATGCACCCCACGTGCAGCCCCGCCCATCTGTCAGGAGAGGCTTGGGCGCTGCTAGGACTCTGAGCACGTTTCAGTGGAGCTTCCAGACTCACACGGACTAGGAAGACAGGCCCGGTGATCAGCTGCTGCAAACCTGCCATTGCAAACCCTGTGGGTCACAGTGGTCCGCTCCGCAGCTACTCATGGGGAGGATGGGGCAGGCCGGACAGCGTCACTGTGAGCTTGGGGCTGACTTCCTGGCAGTTCACAGTTTGCAGGGCGGGGCCGAGACCTGCCTCCACAAACACTTGTTGTACATCGTCTGTGCACCAGCCCCTCCACTAAGGGTTTTACACCGGAGACTGGGAGACACAGACCTGGAACCACGTTCCAACATGGCGGCCACCCGTGGAGCAAAAGCAGGGAGACGTCTCCCGGGGGAGTCCCAGGAGGGTGTTGACGAGTGGTCAGGAGAGAGAGGCTCAGGTGCGAGGAGGAGATGGGGAGGTGTGGGGAGCGCCGACGAGCACTCACCTGAGTGGTCGGGCTCGGGGCGTGGTACGTAAAAGGGCGGCGGGCCTTGCATCCTCTGGTAGGCTTTTTCAGGATTCGGAAAAGGCCCTTTGGAGAGAGAAGGAAAGACACCGTCAGGCCCTGAGCTGCAAACTCGCCAGCCTGTGGGAGGCACGCAGCAATGGCTCGGGCTGCTAGCAAGTGAGGAGCTGGCCTTTGGTCCAGGCATTGCCAACGCCAAACGTGCACTCGTGTCCCAGGATGGAAGTTCAGGCTGGAGAAGTGGCGTGGGGCCCCGTAATCTTCACGGCAGTGTGGGTGATGGGAACCCATGTGTTTCCATCGGGAGGCACGTGAGCACTTTGCCTGGGGGCCTGGGCCTCACTGCATCAAGACCTCCCATTGCCTCCTGGCGAGAGAGCCCCATGGCTTACTGAGGGGGCCACCTGGGACCCCCCACCCAGAGTGGAGGCAACCAGAGAGCTGGGAGCCCCACCCCTACTCACACCCCATCCACCCTGGACTCTGAGGGTCCGCAGAGGTGTAGACCCATGTGCCCCCCACCCCACCCCCACCACAGCCCCGGCTGGGGTGTATTTCCCTTTAAGGAAAAGCAATGGAGTTTTGTTGTTGCCCGGTACTGTCGAGTTGGCTCTGACTCCTGGTGACCCGCGTACAACAGAAGGAAACACTGTCGGGTCCTGCACCGTCCTCAGTCATTCCCACGTTTGAGCCCGTTGTCGGAGCCACGTGTCTGTCCACCCCATTAAGGGCCTGCCTCTTCTCTGCTGAGCCTCCGCTCTAACAAGCTTGATGTCCTTCTCCAGGGATTGTCCCTCCTGGTAACACGTCCCAGGTACGTCACGTGAAGTCTGGCCAACCTTCCTCCTAAGGAGCTTTCTGGCCCTTCTTCCAGGACAGATTTGTCCGTTCTTCTAACAGTCCATGGTGTATACAGTATTCCCTGCCAACACCGTAATCCAAAGGCATACATTCTTCTCTGGTCTTTTTTATTCGTTGTCCAGCTCCCACGTGCATATGAGGTTATTGATAATACCATGGCTAGGTCAGGCGCAACTTAGTCTTCAAGGAGACATCTTTGCTCTTCAGCACTTTGAAGAGACCTTTGGCAGCAGGTTTGCCCAGTGCAGTATAGCGTTTGATTTCTTGACTGCTGTTTCCATAGGTGTTGACTTGTAGATCCACGTAAAATTAACTCCTTGATGACTTCAGTCTTTTCTCCATTTATCATGACGTTGCTTCTTGGTCTAGTTGTGAGGATTTTTGTTTTCTTTACGTTGAGGTGTCATCCATACTGAAGGCTGTAGTCTTTGATCTTCGTCAGTAAGCACTTAAGTCCTCTTTGGTTATTGAAGAATCTTCCTCCAATCCTGATGCTAAGTTCTTCATAGAGTCCAGGTTCTTGGATTATTTGCTCAGCATACAGACTGAGTAAATATGGGGAGAGGATGCAACCCTGACGCACACCCTTCCTGATTTTAAACCACGCAGTATCCCCTTGTTCTATTCCAACGACAGCCTCCTGGTCTATGTACAGGTTCCTCATGAGCCCAGTTAAGTGTGTGGCACACTTACTACAGTTTTACGGAAGTATAATTCACATATCATACAATTCACTCATTGAAAGAATACGATTCAGTGCTTTTTGAATGTAAACATAGCATTGTGCAACCACCCCCACAGTTAATTTCAGAACATCTCATTACCTCACTCAGAACCCCAAACTCTCAAACTATCTCTCTCTCCTTTTTGTCCATTCTCTCAACCCCTAAGCCTTCAAAAAAACCCAAACTCACTGCCATTGAGTCAGTCTTGACTCATAGCAACCCCTCCTTGGGTTTCCAAGGCAGTATCACTATGGAAGTAGATTGCCCAACCTTCCTTCCGAGGAGTGGCTGGTGGGTTTGAACCGCCAGCCTTCTGGTGAGCAGTCAGATGCCTTAGGCACTACGTCACCAGAGCTCCTGTAGGCAACCACTAATCTACTTCCTGCCTCTATGGATTTGTGTTTTCTGGATATTTCATACAAATGGAGGCATACCATATGTGGTCTTTCCTACCTGGCTTTGTTTCACTCAGCATAATGTTTTCAAGGTTCATTGACGTTGTAGTCCTAAAGATTAGGACTTTATCCTTTTCTATGTCTGAGTAATATTCCATGGTGTGGCTAGACACAGTTTTTCTCATCCATTCGTGTGCCGATGAATTAAAGGGTCAGAAGTCAAGTCACTGGCTGAGGACCACCCAGCTAAACAGGTGCAGGGCCCACTCTGATTGCTATCCAGTGCCTGGCCCAGGATCAGTCATTCCTTTAAGCCTCTCAATGCTTCTTCAAGGTTGGCTTCATATTCAAGATGAGGGAACATGTTCCAAGAGTTACGATAACGTACCCAGGCTCCCAGCACACTGTCCAGGCAGGGCTAGGGCCAGCACTCAGCCCCTGCCCCCATCAGTCTGGTTTGTCTCTGGCCACACAAAGAAGAGGGGTAGGAGATGTCAGGATGGAGGCGCAGGTCTTGCTTGAGTTTTGGGGAGTCATTGGGCTTGGTCATCTAGTTCCTTGTGACAGTTCAGAGAGGGCACAGGCTGTCAGAGACCCGACCTGCTCTTTGTCCCTGTTGCTGGGCCATGTGATTCCTGGGTTGGGGGACTGGGGGACAGTGGGTGTTGAGATCTCGGGGGAGGGTGGGGACTGGTCTCCTTTCCTGCTTCTCTGTGGGCTCCGGTGTCTGATTCTCCCTGGCCTCTCCCAGCCTGGGCACCTGATCGAGACCCTCACCTTGGGGAGAGTTCCATGTTGGTGCCATGGTGGCCTTTTGCCCCAAGCTCTGACTCAGGCCTCCCATCCCCAGGCCCGGGGCACCATTGTGATGCGTCCCCACTTCTCTTCAGGAGGGTGGGGGCAGGGAGGGCGCTGGCCTTGAGAGGACCAGCCATGAGCCTTTGAAGACGAGCCCTCCCCCATGGATCCACTGTTGACACTGCAGGGGGAGGGGGAGGGGATCCATCGATCACAGGCCTTGAAACTAGGAATCCTGTGGGACCTAGTGATAGCCCTTTAGAGGATGTCTCCTGAGTTCCCTCAGTTTCTAGGAGGCAGTGGTGGTTCATCCAGGTTTGATTCCGGGCCAGGGCACCTCACGGGCACCACCACCTGGCTGTCGGAGGGGGCTCACGTGCAGCTCTGATGCCAGACAGGTTCTGTGGAGCTGCCAGACTAAGACGGGCCTGGTGACTGGCTTCCAAAAACCAGCCGATAGACAGTGACACTTCTACAAGCGTGTTTGTATGTGCCGTTGGAATGTCTGGGTGTCTAGTAGAGCAGACAAGGAACAAGGTTGTGGTGACTCCTTGGCCACAGCCAGCTACTGGAGGGAGCGAGTAGTTGGATCTGTGGGCTCAGGACCATGGTTGCAGGGGACATCAAGCTCAACTGGCATAATACACATACTACAGAAAAACATTGTTCCACGTCCTACTTTGGTGAGTAGTGACTGGGGTCTTAAAAGCTTGCAAGTGGCCATCTAGATGCAATGATGGGTCTCTACTTGTCCAGAGCAAAGAAGAATGAAGAAAAGCAAAGACACATGGAAATAATTAGTCCAAGGGACTGATGGACCATGTGACCCTCAGCCTGTATGACCATGAAACCAGAAGAACTAGATGGTGCCTGGCTACC